AATTCGTATTCCATGTGAGTATTTTTCAGAATGTCATTTGTACTTCTCATTATCAGTATTTTATACGATAACGCAGCTATTCAAAATTCACTCCTTCAACAAACATTAATTTTGTCTTAACAATGCATCAGGCATTCATCTAAGTACTGGAAACAGAAAAGGAATGAGATCCAGTCCATGCTTTCCACAAAGTCACAGTCCAATGAGGGTAGCAAATCTTTAAACAGATTCACAAGGTAAACTTGGTAAGGGCTACAGTAGTGATGTGTACATACTAGAAGAAGTAGGATTTTGCCAAATGGAGAGACTGAAACAGCGTGTTCTATAGTAGCTGAAGGTGGGGAGGGGTGGCTGCCAGTTAGAGAATGCCAGAAAATTAGGTTTATGGCCAGTCCTGAAAAGCCTTGGCTAAGAAAGTGAGACTGACTTTAAAGGCAACAGAAGTCATTGAATGATTTTACACCGGATAGTGACAATCAGATTTACATTTCAAAACGGTAACCTGAACAGTGTGACTAGGTTTAAAAAACTAAAATTAAAAAGAGAGTGGAGACAGGGAAAACAGCTGATTACTGCAGTGCTTTAGGCCAGAGATACAGACTTGGAGTGGTAGGACTAGAGAAAAGAAACTCGGGAGAGACTTAAAACAGAGTATCAGACTACGGCCAAGTGTATTCCATCAAGTTCAAGATTCACTACTTTCAAGATAAACATTTTATACCTCAAGAAAGAAAAACTGCTGGCAATGAAACTATGATCTGATGGGGTTTTTCTTCACTTAGAATTTTCCTTTTATACTTTATAGGAAGAACTCTTTTAAACTGATGGAGACGGATTGTTATCAGATGTCGTCCTCTGTTGCACCTTTCTTTTTGTTCTGATGTCATATAGCGTGGTCCTTTTGCAAGATACTTCACCAAGTAATTAAGAGCAACACAGCACCTGACTCCCATAACTCAACTAAATTAAAACCAGGACTAGCCGTAAGCAAGTTCACAAACAAGCAGTGACAACTGTCATGGCTGTTGCCTAGTTCAGAGCAATTTTAAAACTCGTACTGATTTCAGAGAGGATAAAATGGGGGAAAGTGTACAAGTCAGAATCAATGAAACATTACTGTGTATACATGTCTGTTCTCCCCAGCTAGAACACATCTTACGAGTAGGGTCAAATCTAATTTATTTTTCCCCCTACAGGTCCTAATACAATGCTGTGAGTACTCTGGTTACTCAAGAAATGTTTGTTTATAAAACAACACAATAAATTATAAACATCCTTGGCCACAGTTAGTAGGGCCATGCTAAACGTGGATTTGGTTCAGGTATGTGTTTTTGAATGACGTTCTCTGGCTGTAAGCTAGTCCACTGGATTTTATTTTCCAAGTCACTTCATTCTCTTTTAAGGAAGAATAACTAAAAGTTCAAAGTAACACCTTATACCAGCAGGTCTCATACTTCAGTGAGTATAAGAATCAACAGGGTAGTTTATTGAAAATGCATATCCTCAAGCCTCAATACAATAATTTTGTTTCAACAGAATCTGAGGTAGACTCCAGGAATCTACATTTTAAAAAAGATGTTCTAAAACCCAACTTCTGCCTCGGAATTCCACCAAAAACTGTTGTTCTTCAGCAATGGCCTATACGAGGCCAAACAAGTGAAGGACCACAACCATCTCTGGCAGCCCTGCACCTGGAAATCAGTCATCACGTGGTTGCTCCCCCTGCACACAGCATGGACCTGTCACTGGGAAGTGGCTGCCCACCAAGGACTACTGTGATAAAAAACATGTTGTATAGGACTAAATAAAGTATTAGATATTGAAGGAAAAAAAGAGCAGTGACATTGAAGACACAGCAAGAGAAATTATCCAAATGAAACACAGGGAAAAACAAAGAATAGAACAGAATAAAAATAAAATAAACAGAGCACCAGTGAGCCGTGGGACAACTTTAGGCAATCTAATGTACGTGTAACAGACGTCCCAAAGGAGAGGAGAGGTACAGGGGGCATGATGTTTCTTGACAAATAATGGCCCAAATTTCCCAAATCCTATGAAAACATACAACCTACAGACTCAAGAAGCTCAACAAATCCCACGCTCAAGAAACCTGAAGAAAACTACACCAAGGCACACCATAGTCCAATCGCTTACAGCCAGCGATAAAAAAGAATATCACATCACATGCAGAGAACCAAAGGTAACACCTGACTTCTTGTGAGAAACGGTGCAAGCTAGAAGACACCAGAGCAACATCTCTGAGGTACTAAAATAAAAAACTGTCAACCTAAACTTCTTTACCCAATGAAAATACCTTTCAAAAGCAAAGGTGAGGAAAAGACTTTTTAAGATATACAAAGCTTAAAAAAATTTATCAGCAGCAAACACATACAACAAACTTGCTAAAGAATGTCCTTCAAGTAGAAGGAAAATGGTATGAGACGGCACTCTGGATCCACGTGAAGGACTGCAAGCACTAGAAATGGTTAACTACGTGGGTAAATGTAAGGGTTCTTATTATTTAAGTCCCTTTAAAAAATAACCAATTAGTCAAAGAAAAAAATAATCGAAATGTATTGTGGATTTTAAAGCATATGAAGAAGTAATATGTATGAAAATCACAGGACAAAGATTGAAAGGAAAAACAGACTGTACAGCTGACCCCTGAACAACGTGGGTTTGAACTGCACAGGTCCACTTACATGTGGTTTTTCTTTCAACAAATACGTATTACACTACCATGCAATCCATGGATGGTTGAATCCACAGATGCAGAACCATTAATACCAAGGGCTGACTGTAAAGTTATATGCAAATTTTCAACTGCATGGAGGTCAGTGCCCCTAACCCATGTTGTTCAAGGGGTCAACTGTGTACTTCTGTAAAGTCCTACACTGTATGTGATGTGGTATAGTACCATTAGAAGGTAGAGTGGCAAAGATGCATACTATAAACCCTAAAGCAATCACTAAATGAGCATAACAAAGAATAAGCTAAAGGAGGTAAGATGAAATTATAAAAAATATATGGAATTAATCTGAAAGAAGACATAAGAGGAGGAAAAAAGGGAAAAAGAAACAGAAGAAACTAATAGAAAACAAACAGTAAGATGGCAGATTTAAACCAACTGTATCACATTAAATGCAAACAGTCTAACATAAACACACCAATTAGAAGGGAAGAAGTTACTAGAAAGGATAAAAAAGCAAGATCTAACGATACGCTGCCTACAAGAAAACCCACTTTAAATAGGAAGACAAAAATAGGTTGAGTAGAAAAAAAGTAATTTTCTGACTGCTCTTTAAAAGAATGAGAACAATGAGAATGATTGCTGACATAACTCTGATTCACAAGTTGCCATGATTCAGGAAATATTCTCATATTCAACAGTCCTTTTTTAGCCTTTAGCTCTAACTCTTAATACTATCTTGTACTCTTCATAATAAAATTCACTGTATGTGTGTCCACATGTCATTATCACTTCAATTACCTCAACAGTATCTCTAAATAAAACTAAAGATTTCAAAATAAATTCCCAACTTGAGCTAAGAAATTAGCAATGTATTCTAATCATTAAGTAACCACAATGTATTCCCGAAGATGTGCACATATGTTGGATATTTACTCCTATATAAACAGTGATTTCATTTAATACTTTGTATTAAGACAACCGAGTCTGAGCCAGATGGCAGAAGCCAAAGATAACCGCATCTCACCACATCCCCTACCTCTGGGAAAAGATTGAAGAGGCTATTGGTTTTTCTTTCTGATAAAAGCCACTTACCAAAAATGTTTTAATATATCTGCATGGCTGTTTAACCACTAGCCATTCACTGAAGCATTTATAAAGAGACATATATGCCAGGCATTGTACTGTATTGTGCTAGGCACTGGGGATACAAAAATCAACATTATGTTCTTAAGAGTCAAGTCTGGTAGAGAAGGGGCAGGAATATACGTGAAATGTCTTAAGATGCTGGAAATCATACCACAGAATGTTTGTTCATCTTCTCAGTCTTCTAAATATGAACTGGTCCGTTTCACCTAACTTGTGAACGTTTATATACACAGAGTCGTTTGTACTCGTCCTTTATGATACTTTTGATGTCTGCAGGGTCTGTCGTGGGATCCCCCATTTCATTCCTGCTATTCATAATCTGTGTCTTCTGTCCTTTTTCCTTCGTCAGTCTTGTCAGAGGTTTGTCAATTTTATTGATCTTTTTAAAAACCAGCACTCTGTTTCATTCATTTTCTCTAGTTTTTCTGTTGTCAATTTCATTGACTTCTGCTCTCATCTTTATTGTTTCCTTCCTTCTGCTTGCTCTCGGCTGTATTTTGCTCTTCTTTTTCTAGGTTCTTAAAGTGGGAGATTAAATTGTTGATTTGAGACTTTTCCTTTTTCCTAATGTATGAATATTTAGTGCTACAAATTTCCCTTTGAAATTTAATTACAGACTCAGAAAAAGAGTAAGAGGTAGCCAGAAATTTGGGAATAAATAGCAGGAATTTTAAAGATAACCAAGTGGGAAAAAGAACTAACTACTAGGAAAAGAAAGTTCTCCAAGTAAAGAAAATATTCAAACCTAGCTGAAAGACAAAGCACTGTTACTAAAACAATTCCTCAAAATATAATGACCTGGACTGAATGACTTCGGGTAAATAACCACAAAGTCAACCACATACACTGAGGAAAGAACCCACACGTGGAACACAGCTCACCAAATGTGCACTAAAGAGAATGGAAGACAGGGAACAGGCAATGCAGGGGGCACGGGAAGAGCTGCAGGATCTCTTTTCTCCAGGTGGCAGTCTTGGTTGAGCCTCTTGACACTCAGACAATTTCACAGATCAGTAAATGCTGCCCAACAGCAGCTGAGACCGCGTATATGCAAAGGGTAAGTGTAGAAATGTAACGATTTCACCTGAGTTGCCCACTCCGCCATGGAAAAATATTAATTTTGACTGTAACTTATGGAAGAACCAAATATCTTTTTGCTTACCCTCTGAGCTTTTGCAAGTTCTTCTTTTAATCTTTCGTAGCCCTTTTCTCGGACTTCCAAAACAGACGGGCTTCGTAAGCGGGACAGACTATCAGTACTCAGCCCAAAGATATCATCACTGCTCTCACAAGCCTCGGTTACAGTAGCACCCTGTAAAAACTCCCTCTCTGCCTTACAGTTGTCCTTTCTGGTGGTTAATTTCATTAACCCAGCTGTGACTCCAGAGGTAGAACAAGGTGCTGGGTCTGTAACATGGATGCTGTAAAGGAAAGTTCAGAAACCATCAGCATGTGATCAAATTTAACGGGCATTAACACACACATCTGTAACTGCATTACCCAGTCTGTTCACCACTATATCTAATTAATAACGTGTCCTAACTGACACTTTGCTATTCTTCTGAAACACTGTAAATCAACTATACTTCAATAAAAAAGAGATTTTCGAATAAAAAAGAACAGAATTATCTCCAGAGAAAACAAAGAACTGCTTAAGAAAGGAAATCTAACCATATGTCATTGTATGGTTCATCTGTGAATAATCTGTGAATAAAATATGTATAGTAATGTAAAAAAATAGTTCTCTGTTCTTAAAATTAGAATCAATGAAATTAAACTCAAAAGACATACATTTAAAACATCCTCAAAGGGAGAACTTTCCATTTATGCTGATGGTATTTCATCTTGTTAGTATCAAATATATTTTCTCAGCCTTTTGAAATGTTTTCTAATCTTGGCAGTGGTAGGGAAGGTTGTGGTACTGATGAAACAAAATTAGCCATATGAGGAAAATGGTTGAAGTTAAATGACATAGGGGTACATAGGGGCTTATTCTGCCATCCTGTAATTTTTGCACATGCATGAAATTTTCCAAAATAAAAATTAAAAAAAAAACATTACCCACATAGTATCTTTTTGTTTATGCTTAAGCCTTAGCCATCTCATCTAATCAAAACAAAAAACAAAAAAAAAAAAAAAAAGAAAAAGACAGCATGTCCTGAGACAAAGTAACCACATTTCAAGTCCTTCATAGTCACATGTGGCTAATGGCTAGCATATTAGACGGCCCAGAAACAGAGTATCTTCATCACCCCAGAAAGTTCTGTTTGACAGTGTAACTCTAGAACAAGGGTCTGCAAACTAAATGCAGGATAAATCTAGCCTGCCACCTGTTAAGGCCCACAAGCCACGAATGATTTTTACATTTTCAAATGGCTGAAAAAATCAAAATAATATTTTGTGGTACAGAAAACCACATGAAATTCAAAATTCAGTGTCCATATACAAGGTTTTATTGGAGCTTATTCATTTATGTACTGTCTACGGCCGCTTTCACACTTTAACAGCCGAGCCCAGCACTACAACAGAGAAATGCACAGCCCACAAAGCTTGAAATACTTACTATTAGGCCCTTAACACAAGAAGTCTGCGACCCCTGCTCTTGATCACTAACATGTATTGCTCTTCTTGGACAATCTTATATTATTCAAATTTTCTAAAATAATCAAATGTAAACTCTATTTGTTTAATACAATACTCAAGAATAAGCATTTTGAAGATCTCCTACCTGATACCGGATATTTCAGCACAATTTAAACGTCTGGGGGATGAATAGACAGGTTGCGTCGGCAGGTCGGAAACATCTAAGGCGTTGGCCTGGATAGGGGCGGGGCATAGCGCTGAGGGGTGGGGCCGGTAGATAACACTGGGCGAGGTAGTCTGCTCCTGAGTTCCTGGTTCATACACACCAAGGAGGTCCGGAGAAGTAGGTGAAGCAAGGTTTACTTCATGGAAGCCTTCCAAGGGGTCATTAGCCATAGCAAAAGCCTCATCATAGGATGACCTATGTTAAAACAAAAAGCAGGTGATTATTTGAGATAGTGACATTTAAAATTACGATGTATAATTTATAAAATGTGCTTAACAGTCCATTATAAAGTATAAACTTACAATACAAGAGACAGCAAAAGAAAAAAGACTATAATCATCTAACATTTATCAAGTGACCTCAGAGCATAAATACTACCAAAGACAATCTGATCTGGAACAAACCTGACAGTGATAGCTCACAGTGTCACAGCGAGTAATTAATAAATAACAGTGAGGAATGAATGAAAATTTGCTTGATATTTTTAACTTTGCTCTCATATGAGACTTTGGTTAGAATGAGTAGAAGAGGCAGTGAAGACAGACAGACATACACACTTAGAATGAGGTAGACCTAAGTTCAGCTAACTGTTCTGCTCTGCCTTACACTGGCTATGTGACTTTGGATGAGAGTTTTTTCTTTTTTCTTCTGAAGTAATTTCAAATTTACATAAGAGTTGCAGAACTCTTAAATATTTCACCCAGATTTCAAAACTGTTCACATTTTAGAACCAGTTGAGAGTAGGCTTCAGGCATGATGCCCATTACCCCTTAATACTATATATATTATACATAATATATATAACCCTAAGTACAAGGACATCGCCAATCTAACCACAAATCCATCACCAAAATCAGAAAGTTAACACTGATCACTATGACCAACTAAATGACTCAAATTCCACTGCTTGTCCTAATGATGTTCTTTATAAGCCCAGGATCTACCCCAGATCATGCATCACACTTCTCTAAGCCTCTGGTTTCTCCTCTAACAGGATGAGAATGGGGATAACAACATCCCCTCCCACCTCGAAGCTGCCGTGAGGACGAGGAAGACGATGCGTGTGAAGTACTTAGTGGTGAACTGAGTATCTGCAGAATATGGCCTCAATAAACATCTGCTATCAGGGTTGGCCACTAACAGTAACAACTATGCTTCAGCTTCTCCGTAAGTAGAGAATGTTTCACATAACTACACAATCACATCACAAAGTTTACACGAGAACTAAAGAGTGCACTACTCAAGATTTTCACTTGAAAAATACAAAAGAAATCTTATAAGCCTTTACTGATGTCCCACTGTCTACAGAATGAATTCTAAACTTGTTATCCTGAAAACCAAGGTCTTCTGTAACCTGATGCCAACCTCTCTTTGCAATTTTTTCTTTCCTACAACAGTACTTTGAGAATTGTGACTAACACCTTCCCAGAACTTCCAAAAATTCCCAAACACAAGCACCAATGTAGCACATAATTTCATCAGAAAATACAATAAAAACCTTTTCATCATAAAATAAAAACCTGCATTTGTTAAACTGACTGAAAAATTTTACTCTCTCATACTTTAATTATTTTTAATTTTTCGGGGTGGGTAGGTCATTAGGTTTATCTATTTACTTACTCCTTTTGGTGGAGGCACTGGGGATTGAATCCACGACCTGGAGCATGCTAGGCATGCACTCTACCCCAGAGCTATACCCTCCCCGCTCTCTCATACTCTTAATAAAAAGCGTTAAAAAATAAGACAAATAGGTGTACACCCAAAACTAACACAACAATGTAAATCAACTGTACTTCAGTAAATAAATAAATGTAAATATCCTTTAAAAAAGAAATTTAAAAAATTTAAGTAGGGAACAACAAAAGACTGCAGTAAGGCTGGGAAAGAAGAGCATTGACAAAATATTTATACATTCTCTCACAATTACAGAATTACAAAATTATACATCTCAGACCTTCAAGGACATTCAGTCAGCCCTCTGGATCCATAGATAGCACATCCTCAGACAGAAAAAAAAATTCCAGAAAATTCCAAAAAGCAGAACTTGAATTTGCCACACACTGGCAACTACTGACACAGAATTTACACTGTATTAGGTATTATAAGATTATAAGAGATGACTGAAAGTATGCAGGGGATACGCATAGGTCACATGCAAATACTACGCCATTTTATATGAGGGACTTGAGCATCCAGGGATTTTGGAATTGGCGGGGGTGGGTCCTGGAACCAGTGCCCCCTGGAGACCGAGGGAAGAAAATATATGGACAATCAAAACTGTAAGTATTAAATCCACAAATGCCAAATTTTAAATCCAATGAATGTTTTCTCTATTGTAGCAAACAGTAATTTCAGTCCTCATAATGAGACTAATCCTTGCTTTTTCACCCAATATACTCTCTACGCTAAAAAAAAGGTTGTATTAAGAAGGAACTTAAAGTGTTTCACACTCAATTATAATTTATTATTTTTTCCAAAATAACATTTTTCATTCCTTACTCATAATACACACACATATACACCAAAGCAAACATCTAACCCTGGATATTTCATTTTCACTTGAAAATAGTTTACTGATCAATTCACTTTATCGCAGAAATGAGGTTTTCGTTAAACACTGACATGTTATCAGAAATTATGGTACTTCCTTTTTTCTCTCCCGTATACTTCTATTTCACCTCTCTATACCTGAGAGGTTCACGGAATCACAGTGTAAAAACATCTGCATTTCTGGAAATGTAAAATGGTACAAATCCTCTGGAGGAAAATTTCATAGTATCTAACAAAATGACCTGTTCACTGAATCTGTGACCCAGTATGCCCACGTACAGGGCTTTACTCAAAGATAAATGGGCAAAATAAAAAAGAAAAGATACATGCATAAGGCCAACAGCATCAGCAAAAGACTGAGTGAACTAACATAGGAACGTCCTCCTAACGAAGCACTATACAGCCATTACAAATAAATGAGTAATATCTACATACTGCTATGAAGTGATCCTCAGGATATGCTGGCAAGTTAAGACACAAGTAACTGTATATAGTAAGCCACCTTTTACCCAGGAAGGGAGAAAATACAAGTTTATTCATATGTATATATAATATATTATATTGTATTTCAGAAATGGAAGGATAAAACAAAAACTAATTTAAAAAGCTACCTTTAAGAAAAGGGGAAAAGCAGGAAAAGGAGAAAGGCATAAAAGCTAGACTTTCCCAAGTGCACTCTGCTTTGTAGACTTAAATCTGAACTTGAAACCATGTATATGATAAAACAAAATTAGATTAAAAAATATAAATCTGACTGTGAATTGCGATGGTAGTTTAATCACATCAAAAAGAAGTATTTCAGGTGATTTTAAAATACAGTAATAAAGCTGTATGTCCCTAGTGGAACATACCCTAAGGACAAAAGGAAGTCTAAAAAAATCATACACTATTTTCAGTAATCATGTTAGTAGTAATGTTGATATTGCTATTCTGAAACTATAATATAGGATAAGATTAAACAAGTTATGTTCATATCATTCGAAACTAAGATTTTCAGCATCTGAGAGAAGAGATACCAATACAAAATCAAAGAATTTAAAACTCTGAAGTCCTAAATTTGAATCAGAAACATAAGGAAAACATTTTCAATTTAAAAAAATGCCCGCCTTTATCCACTGAAAATGTGTAACACCAGGAACCAACTCAGGAGCAATGAGTACCCCTCGTGCTCAGAGTAATACCATTTCCTATAAAAGAACAAGGGCTCCTCGGAGAAACGGCGGATTCCAGGCCCGGGGCAGTACCGTACAAAAGGGCCCGGGAACATCTTGGGACACCAGGAAGCCAGAAAGCTATCAAAGCCTCCTGGAGTGGTATCAAAGGACTCCCATGAACCAAAGATGGGACAGTCTGAACATCAGAAAGGATAATATCTGTAAGGAACAAACCAAAAGCAGTTTTAAACCCATGAGTGCATGATTATGCTAAAAGTAAAACAAAAACAAAATCTCACTGGTCCTTTTTGATCAGTGCTATGGAACCAATTCACTACTTCAAAAACTGGTAAAATGAAGGAAAGCACCTAATATTTCTCCTGACACTCCTACACACCAGAGAACTAAACAGTTTATGAGAAAAAGTTCCTCTTTTCTAAGAGCCCCACTTAACAAATGTAACTCTGCAGTCCTAATGAAATAATGAGTCGAGGCAACATTCATCGATAACTATTAAGACCTTCAGGTAAAAATCTACCTGGGGAAATGTACAGTTAATGGGTCAGAATGGCAGACCCTCAACGCACTGACGACATCGTATCACAAAAAGGGAGAAAATAAGACACTGAGAAAATTACGTGGCAGAACAGGAAATGAATAGTACCACCAAGCATGAAGCATTCTTGCCCCTCTTTAAAAAAAAATAAAAAGACCCCAATCCAATCAAGCCTCTGGGTCATCATCAGTTTATAGAAAATACAGAGGCTGGAGGAACATATTAAAAATAGCACCATATGGATGAAAAGAGCAAAATCTAGACTTTGGGAAACTATTGGATAAACCATCTGTTTTTTTCAACAAAATAAAATGGGGGAAAAGAGGGAATTTATAAAGAGACTTAAGAGACATAAAGAAATATAATGTGCAGATCTTGGCCGCATTCTTACTTGAATTTACCTACTGTAAAAGCATATTATGAGACCACCAAGGGAACTGGAACACTAGCTATCACTGGTATTATCATGACTTACTGTCCATCCTTAGGGATAATAATAGCATCATGGTCACATAAAAAATTTCTTGCCTTTTAGAGACACACTGAAGTATTTACAGACGAAATAAGATTACCTGGGCAGGTAGGGTATAGCTCAGTGGTAGAGTATATGCCTAGCATGCACGAGGGTCCTGGGTTCAATCCCCAGTACCTCCATTAAATAAATAAGTAAGCCTGATTACCTCCCCCCACCACAAATAAATAAATGAAAAAAATTTTAAAAAAAGATTACTTGGATTTGCTTCAAAAGAATCCAGGCATAGGAGGGAAGAGGGGGCTGGCCATCCAATTACCAGTCCCAGTCGCACAGTATTAGGGCTGTTTCTCCCATGATAACAGCTAATATTCACTGGGCACCTACCTGACATCAGGTACAGTTCCAGTGCACGCAGAGGGGAGGAAACTTCAGGTTAGGGCAGCCAGGATTAAAACCTGTG